CTCAAGAATGCTCAGGAAGCTTTTTATTTGTTGACTGCTCACTCATTTCTCCTGTATTTCATGGCACAGACGAACTGTAGTATCCTGAGAGGAGCCAGGGCCGTGGAAGCATGGGCACCTCTGTCAGTGGGGTCACACTGTGCCCTGGTGGCCTTAATCAAGTTAGTTCTTCATCTATGAAATGGGGCTGAAATAACACACTATATTAATGAGACCATTTTCTATGACAACTCAGTAACGTTTCAGGTTTGTTATCGAAGCAGCTTTACTGAGGCATGATTGACATCCAATAACCTTAACACATTTTACACATGCAGTTAGTACATTTCAACAGGTACAGACCCCTGGCAACATCACATGGTCAAGCTTTTCACCCCTATTTACCTGTGGTGCACTGGTTGCACTGACAAACCTTGACCTAAGGCTATGGTGTTTGGAGAAGGGAATGTTTAGCATTTTAAGACACATTTGAAATTATCTTTGCTTCTACTACAAATGTTGATATGGTCTTTGTATTTAATTTATTTTTTATTGGATTTGGCAATAGAAAAATAAGATTTTAGAATTTATGAAAAAAAAAAGATTATTTTAGCCTGTTGCTGCAGATTCCAATCCCCAGAGCATGTGTCTGGGAAGAAAGATCCAGAAAACTTGGCTTTGGGGCAGAGAGAGGAGTCGGGTACATCTCTCACTCACAAAGTCTTAGAATCTGGGGTCAGAGGCCTACACCTCGCCCATAACAGTGACAGTCTAGGGTGGGAGGCCTATACCTCACCTATAACAACGACAGTCTAGGGTCCAAGGCCTACACCTCGCCCATAACAGTGACAATCTAGGGTGGGAGGCCTATACCTCACCCATTGTCATTGGACAATGCTGAGTTGAAGGGGGGGGAAGAGAAGCTCTGGTCGTGATTTCAGAGATGCAGTAACTTCCAGCTGGGGACACACTTCAGTGAGAGAAAGCATTTGTTGCTCCTTCACTGTCGGAGAGCAGTGTGGAGAATGATCTTAACACATACAGACCTGTGAATAGCTTGAAGTTGAACTCTGTGCATTAAGCGGACAGGTTGGGTGTCTGCCCAGCTTTCTTCCTGGATGGTGTCCAGCATTTTCGAGTGTGTGGGATCGGTGGTTGGACACCAGCCCAAGACGTCCAGCAGCCAGACACCTAACTGAGTTGCATGGATGGGGATGCCCCTTCAGTCGCCCGTGTGGATAGTAAGGCTCCCATTCACCTCCGTGCTGGTCAGAGGAGCCCCCCTGGGATGCACACTGCAGTGATGGGTGACTTCTGGGCCCTAGAGGCCTCATTACCTTCACATCCATCTTTTTTAGCTACCACCAGATAATAGGTGAAATTTAATCAGATGCCAAAGGTGTCCTCAGCAGGAGAATTTGAGAAACTTTACCGGATGCTGCACTGTAGAGTTAGAATGATTGTAGGCAACTAGAATGGTCTTTTGCAGTGAGAGCAAACATATCATACACTCTGAGTTCTGATTTATTTTTAAAACATTCTTGCTCCCAATGGCTGCCCTTTTAATAGTTCACTGCAGCCTGTTTATTGTTACAGATGTTACTTTTAGATGAGGTCACTGCGCTTTTCTTCACTTCCAAAGGCAATGTTTGCCTTTCATTTCCGGCTTGGCAGAGCTGCCTGCAGAGCATGTGAAGGTGTGATCAAGGTTACACTGCGGGCCTCACCCATGTCCTTGTGCAGCCCTATCAGCCCAGAAGGGAGAAGACAGGCACTGCCAGGTCTGGACTCTCATGCCCTTCTCGCCTACCGTGAAACCTCAGATGTGTCAGAGCTCCCCGAGCCTGCGTCATCATCTGGAACTTGGAAATGATAAGTTTTGCTCCCAGGATTTTTGTGAGGACAATATATGCTGCAGCTGGCTTGTTATGGATGTTGGAGATATCTGGGGATGGTACTTGCCAAAAGCACTGTGCTTTGGGAAAGCTTTAAGTCCTGCACAGAGTGTATTTTGCATAGCTTTGTTGGAGGGCTACTGACCAAATACAGCTTGCCACTGATTTTTGTGAATCAAGTTTTACTGGGACATAGCCAGGCTCTTTTGTCTGCAGACTCTATGGCTATCTTTGTGCTACAAGGGCAAAGTGAGTCATAGTGACAGAGACCCTGTGAGCACAGAGGCAGAAGTGTCTCTGTCCGACCCTTTACAGAAGTTGACTGACCACTAAGCCAGGAGTAAGGAATGCCTTATGCAGAGATCTGGTCATTTGTAGAGTGAGGAATAGGGGACATGTGGGAATTTTGGGAGTATTCCTGTGTGTCTGTGTGGCTCGTCCCATTTGAATTTAATGTAAACGCCTGAAACTGCAGTGCACGTCAAAAGACAGGAGTGTTGAGAGGAAAGTTAAATTAGCATGGGAGTAGCTGCCCCTCATGTCAGATGTTTCCAGAATAGATTCTCAGTTTTGTTCAACAGCCTTGCCCAGAGATGACCCTGTCTAGCCCTGGCCTGGGCATATGGTGCTGGAGTCAGTGGGTTAGCACAGGTGGCACCAGGTAGCCCTTCCACAGCAGTCATGAGCTGTCCCAGCATCCCTTCTTTGGAAGTTATTGCTAATGATCAGCATGAAATGAGGTCTGTTGACCACATCTCTGTCTTTGCTTTGGAGTGTTCCAGTTAATAGTTGGATCTGGCCCTGATGCCAGCCCTGAGTCTGCCCTTCCTAAAAAGCAAGGTATTGCTGCATTTCAACGTGGACTGCGTGTTTTAACTATCATATTTGTTAGCGTCTGGAAAGCGATTTACAAGTTTGTGATGGCTCAAAAAAATTGCCCTCAGACACATGTTCCAGTGGCAGGAAGACTCTGCAAAAAGTAAATGAGACTTTAAAAATAGTGAGCCTCAACCAGCAGAGAAAGGGACAGGAGCTGAACACATTGTCTTTGTGTCCCTTCGCACAGGCAGCAGCAAATGACATACACCACATGCTCTGTTCTCTGACGAGTTAGAGGATGGCCTCTGGCCCCATCCAACTGAGTCGGTACCTCTGTGCCCGCTCACTTCATCGTCCCCACACACAGGTTGCATCTTGGGAGGTGGTCACATTCTCACACTTTCATTAGACTGCAGGTGAGAACCTGGTCTTTCTGACCTTGTCACCCACATCCCACAAAGCAGTTTCTTGCCACAGTAGGACGAGAACACATGAAGAAGAGCTGATCACAGGTGCGTGGCTGTGAGGGTGGAAGTGGAGACAACATGAAAAACCGGTGGCCATTTCACATCCGAGGCGAGGCCCTCTCAGTCGGAATTCAGTGCCCTAATATAATATGCTGCCTTGGCAGGTCAGCCACTGTGCTAGGCTCGAGGGACATGGAGTGGACAAGCATCTTGACTTCCTGGAGCCCCTGGAGCTCCTGGAGGATGGGCGGCAAACTTGCCTGCTGCACTCACCTTCTGACTCCCTAGGAGCCTTCACCCCCGTTGTGCCCTGCAGATCTATCTCATCAGGTCCCTTTTCAGAATTTTAATCCCAGGTGTTACATATGGTATAAAAACTTAATAATTAGTCTAGCCTTTAATATTTAGGGCAGAAGGATTTGACAAAAGTACATTAGACTCAGAAGAGCTATGTTCCAACTGAGAGACAGAGGCACCCACTGTGCGTTCACTGTGTGTGGACTGGTCGAGGCTCTGGGGAGGCAAGCTCATGTTCCCAGTGGGAGTGAGGAGAGGCAGAAGAAGAATGAACTGGCATAAAACAAACAAGATCACTTCGGATGGTGGCAGGTGCTGTAAGAAGGCATGTCGTGTGAAGTAACACTCAGCTTCTTTAAGCTTCCGCGTCCTCTTTTACAATATGGAGATAAGACCACACATCACTGATAAATTGGTTAAAAATTAATGAAATAATCCTGAGTGAAAACCTTTTTTCTGTATTTGAGATAAGTCTGTCGTCATTGTCAGAGTCAGCTTTTGTGAACATCCATTTTGCAGCAGTGGTGTTCAGAGCTGACACAGCTTGTGATCAGATGCTTCTGCGCTCCTGCGGTTGCCCTATGCTCAGAGTCCCCCCCTCCACCAAGTTTCCTTCTGCCACTTCCATCAAAATAAGTCTGCAGTGTACCCATCATCACAGTAGGCTTGCTTTTTGCTCCTCTATCTTGCAGCATGTAAAGATTTGACCTGTACAGAGTGATCGTGATGAGCTGAGCTGGTATGGAGCAGAGCAAAAGGGCACGGATTCTGATTATGGGAGAGGGTCAGAGAGGCTTCATAGAGCTGGTAGGTCCGCAGCACGCACAGAGCAGAACAGCGTCGTGTGACACAGGGGACACAGGAGCCAGGATACCCAGTTGAGTCACTAATTGATGAGGTCTTAACCAGTCTTACATACTCTAAACACTTTTCTCAACTCCAAAGTCGAGATAATAAAACCACCTACATCCTGGGTGTTTTGTAGGTGAAATGAGGACGTAAGGAAAGCCCACATTTCGGCAGTAGGCACGCAGGACCTACCCCTACAGCTTTGCTGTTGATGATTGTGGTTCTGGCCTTCAGGTACTATGTTGCTGTTTCCTGACTGAGGTGAGACAAGGTTGAGGCCATAGCCTAATATGTCTGGAGACGGCCTGCTAACATCTCCGTTTTTCACAGCTAGAGAATGTATGCAGGCCAGCAAGCAGCTCATGCTGCCCAGTGGGGAGTAGCCCATGGAGGAGTGAAAGTCGTGCAAATACATTATTTGTGCTAGAAAAATAATCCAGGACATGTAATGTCACTGAACAATGTTAAGAATAATAGCTTCACTCAACTGAAACATCACATTTTCTACACATCACATTTTTTAGTCACGGGGCATTTTTTAAGAGGCAGAAAGAAAATTACAGAAAATTTACAACCTTGTATCTAAGTGAGGTTTCTTCAAACTACAAGCAGTTTATACAGAACAGATGCCCTCACAATGCGGCCTGTGCACCACAGACTTTGTGGCTGTATTTCACTTTCCTCCCTCCTCCAGTTCTTGCAGACAACCTGAAATCCAACCCTGGAATTAAGTGGCAATATTTCAGTTCGGAAGAAGGAATTTTCACTGTTTTCCCTGCACACAAGTTCCGGTGTAAAGGCAGCTACGAGCACCGCAGCAGGTATGTCGACTTGCTACGGTTCTGATTGTTGCCTGAGAGTGGCCCACCTGAGGTACAGACTTGCTCTTGGTCTCAACACTTGTACTTCTTCTGAAACAATTACACCATTTAATATATGTGGACTTGGTAATCTAAGGAAGGGCAAATAATGAAGCCTGGAGCTATTCCATAACTTAAACAAGCCAAATAAAATAAAATTCTTTTGACAAACAAAATGAAATTGTCTGAAGCACCTAGAATGTTTTGAGCTTCAGCCATCTTTGTTGAACCAGAAATTGTGATCCCTTCTCTAAGGTGCAGCCTAGAACGTGACTTTGTAAGGCACCTCAGAGTGCGGGTAATGATCCTCAACTTCCCTTTCTATGACAATGTGCTTGGCTGTGCTTTTGAAATTTGCATGAAAATTTCAACTAATAGAAGTTTCAAAATTGCCCAGAAAACACTGGATTAAAGGTCACTACTAACTCTCTGCTCTCCTCACTGAGATAATGTGAGAGTGTACTACATAACCAGAAGGACAGTAATGGTGAGATGATTTGTATGACTAGACTCGTTAATTTTCAGAGCCCCTGAGGCAGAGATGCTTTCCTTGGACAGTTCCCTGTTTGCAGCATCAGATGCTTGAAACCAAAACCAAGCACCCACTTCACAGGCCACTTCCTAGAGTCAAAGTGAATAATCCCTTCACCTCCTCCATCTCTACTTTAGAAGATGCCAAGGGTTTTTCCTCCAAGGCAATCCTTGCTTTTCCTAAGAAGGAAGTTCCTTCCATTCCCTCACCAAACATTTTGGGGAAGACATGGATGCTTTGGAGACTGGGCCAGAAGTCGTGATCTTGGCTGGCTCCTCTCAGAGAACAGAGGCTGCAGTAGCCATCTAATTCCCACTCTCTTCTAAGAAGATAGGTAAGGTGGCTGCTGGTGAAGGGCAGCTTAGAAGGGCAGGCAGAACCAGCCTGTGATAATTCAGCCCTGGAGCCTCTCTCCCCTTGGCTGGGTGGTCTGTGTCTGCAGCCCAAGGACGGAGGCTGGGCTGCCCAGTGTGCCGTGAGGACCACCTCCCAGCTTGGACCTATATCATCACATTTTCTGAGTCCATTGAAGCAGTATTTAATAATTGAGTGGGACGATGCCAGCACATACTCTGCTTTTCATTTACGTGAGTTGAGTGGAACAAAGGAAGCCTGTCCTTTTAAAGAAAATCCTCTTGCCTATCCTGGAGGATCTAAAAGGTTAAATATCTGACCTAGTTGTTGGTGTTGAGAAAATGGTGAGATTTTCCCCTTTTCTGTGCCCTGTTTCATTTCTGGAGCCCCCTTTTCTGGATTCTTTTTATCCCCTTTCCCCCACTGGCTCACTGGTGTGGACTAGTGAGAATATGGTGGTACTTGAGTGTTATCGCAGGACATTAAGGTACTCAAGTGTTATCGCTTGAGAATAATTACTGTAAATTTGGACAGATTTTGAGTTCTTTTGGTACTTTGCTTGCATTTCTTAATTTGTGCCCAGGCCTTTGTGATTCATCTGGCATCTAACATTTCACAGGAAAATGTAGTGTTTAAGGGGTGTCCATAAAGGAGAGAGTTCTCTTGAGACTGATTCACTTTCTTAAACTCCCCCTAAGTTGTTACAGCTTTAAAACTGTGAATAGAGACCTCATTAAACCTCTTCTCACAACCTCCCCGCACTGCACATTAGCAGAGGCTGTTTTGATAGAAAGCATTTCTCCTATGCCTCCCTTATCCCTCTTTTTCTTAATGTTGGAAAACAAAAACCTGGCAAGAAGAGTGGCTGTCACAGGCTTGGGCAAATTTTGATGGCTCACTTTTAAATGCTCTGATAAGGGGCCTTTTGGTGGCTGACCTATGGGAATTGTTCCAGTACAGAAAGGGAAGGGACGTCTTAGCAGGAGCCTTTGTGTGGGAAGAGAGACCAAGCCTGCTCTTCCCTGCTGTTGAGTGTGCTCACGGTTACAGCTGCTTCACGTATAGCAAAGCCCCACTCTGTCAGTCTACAAAGGAGAGTCCAGCCCTGGCCAGTGGACCTTCCCTCTCCCTGCCCTGTCTCCCAGCCCAGGAGCCACCGGTGCCATTTCCTGCTGCAAAGTGGGTAACAGGTGGGATGCGGGGGGAAAGCTGACTTTCACTAGCACTAGAAAGGCAACTTCCCGGCTCGGCGCCTGTGGCTCAACCGGCTAAGGCGCCAGCCACGTACACCTAAGGTGGCGGGTTCGAATCCCCAGCCTGGACCCGCCAAACAACAATGACGGCTGCAACCAAAAAATGGCCGGGCGTTGTGGCGGGCGCCTGTGGTCCCAGCTACTTGGGAGGCGGAGGCAGGAGACTCGCTTGAGCCCAGGAGTTGGAGGTTGCTGTGAGCTGTAATGCCACGGCACTCTGCCCAGGGGGACAGCTTGAGGCTCTGTCTCAAAAAAAAAAAAAAAAAAAAAAAAAAGGCAACTTCCCAAAACTTTGTTCCGAAAAACTCCTCTCAGTTGCTTTAATCCCTAGAAGGCACAAACTGCTACCCCTGTCTGCAGGCACTTTGCTGTTCTGAGGGTTGCTTCCCATGCACTGGCGTGGTCTCTTCATCCAACTGACCACTCCACTCTTGTTCCTCTCTGGAAGAACACACAAAGATCTCTGTGCCCACACCTTGGTCGTGTGCACAGCTGTTGAGAACTTTTACCTAAACCAGAACTAACCCCAGAGAGCTTCTTCTCCCGCCAGGCCCATCTACGTCTCTACTGTCCGGCCACAGTCCAAGCACATAGTAGTGATCCTGGACCACGGGGCTTCCGTCACCGACACCCAGCTCCAGATCGCCAAGGATGCCGCTCAGGTCATCCTCAGTGCCATCGACGAACACGACAAGGTGACCATTATCCTGTGACACGTATGGCATGGGGTCCTCTTTGAATGCCTTTTTTAAGTGACTTTATTATTTTGTGATATACAGAGGCTCTTTGGCTGGGGGGAGGGGTCCATCCCCTCCTAATCTGAAAATATTTTAAGTCAAAATGCATTTAATATACCTAACCTACCAAACATCATAGCTTAGCCTAGATGACCGACACATGCCCCAGAAACTTAGGTTAGCACATAGTTGGGCAAAATCACCTGACTCAGAAGCCTGTTTTTGGTAATAAAGTGTTGAATGTCCCGTGTAATTCATTTCATATAGTCCACTGTGAAGTATGGGTTTTTCCTCATGGTCTTGGGACTCACTAGGGGTTGTGGCTCACTGCCTCTGCCCACTGTCTCCTGAGTGTCACCCTGTGTATCACTAGCCTGAGAAAAGATTGAAACTCAGAATCTAAAGTAGAGTTACTATTGACTGCATATTGTTTTTGCACCATCATAAAGCCAAAATGTTGTGAGTTGACACTTCCTAAGTCTGGGACCATCTGTGTATTTTTTTAAATCTGTTTTTGAAATGGCTTTGGCAAAAGAGCCTGGTTTAGCTTTTGTCCTAATATTTGAGGAGGCGGCTGCCAACCCCAAGTCTCTTTTATAACCACCACTACCACTGGGCTGACTCTTGTCTTTTACAGCTCCTTCTTACCAGCTGTGACTTGCACACTGGAAGTTGTGCTCAGGAGAAGGTGGGGAATTTGGATGCTGCTGGACTGTTGAACTTTATCTCAAGTCTAATGGGAAGTTAGGGAGAATGGGAGGCTGCTGGTGCCTCAGTAATCTGCGGGACACCTCAGGGAGCAAGATTCACAGCCAATGTTGGTCTATTGCCTGGGGCTGTGTTCTACTTCATCATTTTTGACTTTGCCTGCTCCAGAGGTTTTCCTCACTCAGCTACTTGCCTAAAACATGTACCCCATGTCCCTAGCCTCACCCCACCTCTTGCATGATAACCAAGATAGTTCTTGCTAAGATAATCCTCTGCCTGAAATAACTTTCTTGTTTTTAAATGTTCTATGTGAACACAATACCGCTGTTCTATCTGGGAACCAAAAACAAACTCTAGGGCAGGCGTCCTCAAACTACGGCCTGCGGGCCACATGCAGCCTGCCTAGGACATTTATCCGACCTGCCAGGTGTTTTTGCCGCCGCCGCCTGTCCTGCTTAGCCAAGGACAACTGTCCCTGTCCTGTCCAACTCATCCCAGGGCCCACAGTCCAGCCCTCCAATGGTCTGAGGGACAGTGAACTCGCCCCCTGTTTAAAAAGTTTGAGGACCCCTGCTCTAGGGTTTCCCCTTTATCAATCCTTACTAATCCTTTTCAAATTTGATAGATCAGTGCCCTCAGACATTGATTTGTAAACTCTCAGGCAAGTTCTGAAGGCCTTCTCCCTCAGTGGGGCTCTGCCATTTTGGAAAAAATAAAACAAAATGAAAACCTTTAAGTGGTGAGGTTAAGTTTTCTCTTTTTGTCTCCTCCAGATTTCTGTGTTAACTGTGGCAGACACCGTGCGGACTTGCTCTCTGGACCAGTGCTATAAAACCTTCCTGTCTCCAGCCACTAGTGAGACAAAAAGGAAAATGTCCACCTTTGTGAGCAGCGTCAAGGCTTCCGACATCCCCACCCAACACGCCGTAGGGTTTCAGAAGGCGTTTCAGCTGATTCGAAGCACAAACAATAACACAAAGTTCCCAGCCAGTAAGTGCAGTCTCTTGAAGGACTTACACAGACACTAAAAGTAGCAGGAGCAGCATACTGTGAATGGATCTCATAACTATGTTTAGACTCTTTAGAGGGATTGTTTTATAATTGATTTGGAATAAGTTATCACATGCTGTCTTCATAGGTATCTAATACCAGGATCTTACTGGATTTTCTTATCATTTCCAGTCAAAGGCACTCAGTCTGCAGGATGGCTTGGCCCTCAGGGCCTCCTCTCCCTGCCTGTTTATTAAGAACATCGGCCGTCTCCCTCCCTAGGAGCAGCCCCGTCCTTCCCAGTGCTGCCTCCTCAGTGACTGGTCTGCAGTGGAGGAGACAGCAGGTGGAGGGCAGCAGGAATTCTCACTTACCCTTCTTCTCACCAGCTATCCTTCAGATGACATAGTCCCTCCAATGTACAAAGGCACTCTAATTTGATCTTTGTGTGTTAGAGAAGGTCTGGAATCAGGGTGCATAGTGCAGTAAAGGCAAAGATATTCAAAATGGAGCTCATGCATCGAAACTACTGAAAGAAATCTATTTCACTTTTGCTTTTACATTCAAGAATATTTTTTTTCCTATTTGTGAGAACATTAATGTATCCTGTAGAGGTAAATTCAAAGAATCAATTTTCAAGCCCTATATTGTGTCCACATTTAAACTAAGGCAGCACCAACAGATGTCAGCCTAAGTGCTGGGCTTGGAAGAAGGCAGCTGCTAGAATTGTGACAACTGATGAGGGTAGATGGTGTGTTTTGTGTCCAAGCAACATATTACTACCAACTTAGCAGTTTCAGATATATGTTATCTCAAGTTGTCTCCAGTCGGGACTCCAAGTACAGCTCAGATGAGCAGCAGTCAGGTGTCCACAGGGCTGTGTTCTCATCCTCCCTCCCTTGTTTCTTGGCAGAATTCCTTTCCTTGCAGACATAAAACTCACTGTTAAACTTTACTTCTTCAAGGACAGTAGGAGAGCAGCTCTTCTATGTCATGCCCCTGCATTAGGAAAGGGTTGGAGCCCCTTTTAACAAGGTCATCTACACAGACCAGACCCACTTCTGATTTAATCAGATTACTCTCCCCCCAGTGCTTAACTCAAAGGCGCTCATTAAGGACCTCTGCAGAATCTGTCCATCTTTGGCATATCCTGTTGGTTAGAAACAAGTTGCAAATTATACCCACAATGAAGATTATACAAGGGTGTGTGTATACAGGTCGTCTGGAACATCTTAGAATTCTGCTTAGTAGCCTTGGCAAGCACCGGCTATCCACAGGCCAGTAGTAGGGAGTGGCTGAGCATAAATTTGCCCATGGGGCAGTGAGGCCAGTGGACAAAGCTGAGCTCCAATATTCCAGGCAGATCAGCTCAGTCACCAGTCCCAGCCACCTGTCAGCACTCCTCATTCTCAGAAGCTTGCTTTCTGCATGAGTCTTCAGTCATCAGGCCATCTTTAGAGTTTAAGTCCAGTTTTGATTACTGTACTGTTTGAACAGTGGAGAGAAATGTTAGACTAGCAGTTTTGATTTCACGTGCTTTGGTGGCAGGGCAGAGAGTGTGACTCAAGTGGGCTGGGTAAGGGGAGGAGGATCAGCTGGGGATGTGGCGACAGGTGCTGTGAGCTCCCTGGAGGCCCTCCTCCCTGGAGGCTATTCCTGCTGTTCAGGGATGTCTGCCCCAGGTTTCAAGAGAAACCAGAAGTCTGGATTTCTATGTGAAATCCCTTGATTTTCAAATGTTGACATTTGTTCCAGCTTTAAAGCTGTGCATAGAGAACTCACTAAACCTCTTCTCACAGACATCCCTATACTACAAGGCAGCAGAGCCTGGTCTGATGTGAAGATTTCTCCTCTGGGTTTTGTGTGTGTGTGCTGCATTTTGTTTTTTTGTTTTTAATGTTGGCAAACAAAAACAAGGCAAGAATAGTGACTACGAATGACTAGGACAAATTTTGAATGCACAGTGTCCTAAATGCTCAGAGGAGCCTTTTTTGAGGCCCAGTAAGATGTTTCCAAGGTTCAGCTCACCAGGCTCCAGTTCACAGCTTTCACTGTTTAGAGGAAAAATTACCCAGATTAGTTTGTATAAATAAACACTTCAGGAATTAGCATTGTCTGGTGTGTTGATAAGAGGCTCCAGGGTGCTCTCAGGCAGTGTGTCCTAGGAGTCAAGTATGTGAATTTTGGATTCCAACCAATATTCTACTCTGAAATCTTTCTAACTTGTGAATTGGCCTGAATTATTTCATCTTTCCTGACCTGGTTTCCTCATCTATAAACTTAGGGTGATAATAAGATCTCAGATTCTGTCCTAAGTGTTTAAGAAATATTAGCTGTGGTTTTATGATATTCAGTTTTCTATAAGACTTCTCCCTCCAGCTAAACTAGAGTGATACCCTGCATGTCCAGAGATGGCCAAGGGCAGCTAGAAACCTCAGCAACAGCTTGGAGAGGGCCTGTTACTCTTCCCAGAAGTTTGCACTGTGCATCACTTCTCCTCACAGACAGTTATTTAGCTTTTACTGTTTGTCAGATGTGGTTTCAGCTCCCATGGGCAAGGTTATTCAAATGAGTGAGAGCTGCCCTGTAGGATTATTGAAAGGGTTAGTTTGCATGAAAGCAAGTGTCTGCCCCATATAGTGGCCATATGAACAGAAGCTGAGGGTCATATGGCATTGTTAGTTTGTACTAATTTTCTTTGAACCAATCAGAAAATATAAAACTTTTATCCAGTGCTAATTCCTCCTCATTCCCATAGTAGGTTTTAACTGATAGCGTTAACACTGTTGGGGTTGTTTATTCTGAGTGTGTTTGTGGGGTAGAGCAAAAAAAAAAAAGAATACATATATATATAATTTTTTGTCCATATATATGATTTTTTGTTCATATATATATATAATATATATATATATGAGTGGGAATTTAATAGCATAGACAGAGTCCAAATCAGAGTTCTTCTTCATCTTTAGATATTGTTCCCAAGATATACTAGTGGCTTAGATAAAGCCTCAACAAATAGAGAGTCTTTTGCATTTTTTTCTATGTTTATGCTACACATGGATTTTTGCTCTGCACCAAGTCCCAGTAATTTCTTGTCCCTGACATTACAAATCAGAAGTATCATAATTGTTCTAACTAGGTGACTAGGGAGGGAGTATCCTGATGCACAAAGAAAAAAAAAATTAACCAAATTTAATGGATCTGATAGGTAAGAATGGAAAAATAGGTTGGTTTTTATTGAGCATTAGGCAGGCATGGGGCTGGTAAGAGACAGTCAGGGACACTTGAGAATGCTTGTCTTAGTGTTTGGACAGAAATAATTTGTGCTTTCTCCTGCCCAATGAGCCCAAGGGCTTCAGGCCTTCTGGTTTTCCACATGGGCCCATGTCCTAACAGCTAGCAGTGGCAGTGAGTTTTATCCAAGGTTATTAGACGAAATAAGAAAACTCAGAGTTCCCTCTTAGGTCAGCCTGGGTGTGTCCAGGACTTTGTCACACAAGGTGCATTTGCTATGAAGTGATGGCCCTTTTTATGCTGTAGATCAGCCTCACTATATATATGTGCCCCCCCCAACCAAGAGTCAAGCAATTTTTATATTTTTTCATCTGAAACTTAAGGTCTTTAAGGTCTTAAAATAATTTATGGGACTATATTTAGAACACTGGAAAAACACTAACATTTAGTTTTAAGATAGGCATATTCCTAAAATTTATGGACTCATTTTTGTATCAAATTCACTTTCTAATCTGCAATAACTAAATGGTGAAATTCAAATTTGCAGTTAATGTTCATGAGGCAATTATTCAAGCATCAAAATTGTCTTTAAGACTTAGAATACAGTATTACATGTTAGTACTAAACAAGAGGAATGTTGAATACTTTGAGTGAAATTTTATTAAACTCAGTTATCTACAACATTGATACAACCTAAATTAACAATTCTGTTCTGCATAAAAGCATACTTCAAAATCTAAAATAGATATTTATAAACCAAAGGAAATTCAAGCATTGTGTCTTTATCATTAGGATAATTTTTAAAAGGATAACTGTATTTGTTATCTATTGCCACATAACAAATTATTCCAGCACCTGGTAGCTTAACACAATGCTTATTTATTATCTCATGGTTTCTATAGGTCAGGAACCTGGGCACTGCTGGGCAGAGGTGCTGTTATTCCAAAGTTCAACTGGGGGAGGGTCTGCCTCCACGCTCACTCACTTTATTGCTGGCAAGACTTTCAGTTCGGTTCATTCCTTGCCTCTCGGTCGGATGTTTCCAGCCTGCCAGCTATCTTTTCTCAGTGTCAAGGGTACCCATGGCAAAAGCTGCAGCCTTTTTGTAACCTAATCTCAGTCTTAATGTCCCATTACCTTTGCTGCTTTCTACTGTGATAAGTGAGTTACAAAGTCCAGCACATAAGCAGGGGCTCTGCAAGCAGGTAGATGGGCAGCAGGGCTAGCATCCTGGAGCCCAGCTGGGAGGTTGTCCCCACAGCTACTGTGAGCAGGCTGTGTTGGAGGACAGTGCATCACCAGCTGGGAGGTTGTCCCCACGGCCACTGTGAGCCGGCTGTGTTGGAGGACAGTGCATCACCAGCTG